AAACATCTTTCTGATATTCTCTGCTTTTTGCCAAGATCCATCTGATGTCAGCAGTGTTATCCATGTTCCACATCTTTTTCTACATCTTACTTGAATTTCTGGTTGTTACTTATTAATATAGAGCTACAACTATTTTTGCATTACCTTCAGCACATTTTTACTTGTATATAAATTAATAATATTGTTCAATTATGTTGGGTCACCTTTCTTTGAAATGGATAAAACTATGGGTCTCTTCCAGTAAGTTGGCGAGGTAGCTCTTTTTCAAATTTATCAGCATAGGTAAGTGACACTTCCAGCCTTGCCTTCTTTGTTGAACCATCTCAGTTGGTGTCTGTCAGTCCTGGAGACTTTGTTGTCAGTCATTGCCTTCAGTGCACCTTGGACTTCTTCCTTCAGTACCCTTGATTCCTGATCACATGCTACCTCCTGAAATGGTTGAATGTCAGTTTGTTTCTTATATAGTGATTTGTGCACGGTGACTGACTATCCTTCCATCTTCTTTTGATTCTCCATGCATCATTCAATATTTCGCTCAGAATCCTTCAATAATGCAACCTGTTCGTCAGTTCTTTCAGCTTGAGAAATGTTAAATGTGTTCTTCCCTTTGGGTTATCTAACTCCAGTTTTTTGCACATTCCCTTATAATACTGTATCTTCTCAAGCTGCCCAGCTTGAGAAGGAGTCAAACATATATTTGGGGAAGACACAATTAAACCCATAACAAGGCCTAAACTTGAATCTAATAATGCCACAACAGTTTTGTTTGGATTTTGGTTTTTAATTTGCCTTCAATTTTTTTTTGCCTTCAACTTAGGATGGGGGGAATTTAAAAGAGATTCACGATCTTTATGAATATTTAACAAGACATATCATGCTGGAGGATGTAGAAAGGATTGTAAAACTAGGTTTTTGAGGGATTGAGTTATTTTGTGTGGGTGTTCACCTCCCCATACTCTCCAATTTGGTCACCTGTCAGGGAATCTGGCTGACAGAGACCTTCAGAGAAGGGATCAAATCTTAGAAGACAGGATTAAAAGGGGGATCTGAGGATGGGTTATTGGTAGAAGCAGGGAAGAGAGAGAAGAGCCAAATGGGAAGGGGATGTTCTGCCTCCTTGTAGGGTCAGAGGGCATGAAGTCCAACTCTGACATGAGCAGGAGGAGAACTCAGAGGGCTTCTTTTGAATCTGTGGGTTTCTTTGTGATGCTAGTAAGGATAATGTTTCTATTGGACACACCTCTACCGTGTGAGAGACTGGCTCATAGACTAACTCTGTGGATCATGAACTGTGCTGTCACCTCCCTTAAGGGTCCAGCTTCTAATGCCATGTAGACTTCTTGATTCTAAACCTCTGAGCTCCCAAACAGAGCTCCTTTGTGATATTCTCAGAGATAACTGAGAGAAATCAGGAAAAAAAATAAAATAAGAGGCAGTTACAGACCCTTCCTAAAGACTTAGTTCAAAGGCAATCCTATTGAGAACCTACTGAGAATTGACTCCAATGTGTGGGTAGGATCGACTTGACTCAAACATTTCTGAGACTGAAAAAAAAAAAGTCCAAATGCAAGCTCACCTGTTCTCTCCCTTCTTTACCCACTAAGGATCATAGGTTTGTGTTGACAACCTTTATTCTATTGAGAGACCATGGTAGATTGTTCTTTGTAAAGAGAGGCAAACAGACTGAGAGCTGCTGCTGGAAGAGTTTCTGGAGGTGGGAGGAGGTGGGTATGCGATTATGGCCAGTGAGTCATTTCTGACTCCGAGTGACCCCCGAGTGACGGAGAAGGACTGCCCCCTTTGGTTTTTCTAGGCTAAGAGGCCATCAAAATGAGAGGAACTGAGTCATGGCCCAGCTTAGAGCCTTTATCCATCCTTCCCCTCCTGCCTAAACTGTTCTTTTCCCCTTTCCCAGGGCTAGCCCTTGTTCACCCTCCAGGCATCAGAGCATTCTGAGGAGTCCCTTCGGCGATCGCAATCGGTCACTATTTGCTTGCTTGCTTCCTTTGTGTATTTCATTTGTCTCCACCAGGAGATTGGCAGTGCTATGAGAGCAGGATCCAGGTTCATCTTGTTCCTTGTTATCAGCCCAGCACGCAATATGGTAAATGCTCAATGAATATGTGTGCCAGGCACAGAGCGAGATTGTGGTGGGAAGAAGCTTCTTTAAGGAGCCGTCTTTAGAGACTGACGTATGGGGAGAGTTCCCCTTTTGGCTGCCTCTTCATGAGGCTAAAGACTTAAATTACTCTTCAGTGCTATTTAGAGTCTAATTTGTTTTCAAAACAAAGAAGACTCCATGCTGGCTACATGGGTATATTTACTTTGAAAAGACATTCATCGAGCTGTGTCACCTTACTCTGTGCAGTTTTGTGTGTGCGTATTACACTTAAACAAAAATTACATTAAAGGAGACAGTGAGAGAGAGAAACCGTGTCAAAGTCAGCCTTGAGGAAGGAACAAGCAGGGGCAGATGCGTGAACCATACATCCAGAAGGTCAGGATTCACTGCCTCTGACTAGACACTGACTCGCAGGTGCCCTTGGGACAGAGCAGAACTGCTCCAGAGGGCCCCCAGCCTATCCATCTTGACCGCAACAAAGTGCCTCACAGCAGCTGGTGGTTTCAAACCACAGACCTTTCAGACAGCAGCTGAGTGCTTACCCCACCGCACCACCAGTGCTCATGGGAGGTGGAGATTGGGGTGGATTAGTAACAAAGAAAGGAGGAAGGACCACATTGGCACGATCTGAAAGATGGAGGAGATCAGAGTGTAGAGGTTAGGGAACCAGGTCAGATTAGTGAGGGCCTGGATGTTGCCTTGGGTAGTTTGGGTGTGGCTAGAAACTCAATTTATGCCTGTGGTTTGCAAAGGCCGTATTTGACATCCTGTGGCTACAAAGGGGAAAAAGAGAATTCAACTCTATGCCAGCCCTAGGCTGATTGCCACAAGACAGAGACCAGACAAACCCTACCCTCCACCTTCCTCCACCCTATTCTGACACCAACCGATCTTCCCCCAACACTCTCCTCTTCTGATGGGTTTCATAATTTATTGTATTGGTCACAGACAGCACTAATAACGATGAGGGCTTATTAGGGTAGTTAAGGATCTGAAAACATTAAAGATGCTGTCACTGGCCCACACCAAGGCTTCTCCTCAGCCAGAGCCAAGTCCCTCTCTGGTCCTCAGCTTCTCAGCCATGAGGTTCCTTTGGCCTCTGCCTTTGTGGGCCAGGTGCGGTCAGAACAGATACTCACTTGCTGTGATGTGATACTTTCCCTGGAGGTAACCGGCTTGACCGAGATAGGTTATCAGGAAGGAAAGCACAGGTTAGTTATGGGCAATGTTGTTTTTGTTGTTAGATGCCATCAAGTCTGCATACAACAGAACAAAACACCGCCTAGTCCTGTGTCATGCTCACAATTATTCTTTTCTTAAAATTTTTGTCATTTTATTGGGCGCTTGTACAATCCATACATCCATCCATTGTGTCAAACACATTTGCACATTTGTTGCCCTCATCATTCTCAAAACATCTGCTTTCCACTTGAGCCCCTGGCATCAGCTCCTCATTTTTTCCCCTCCTTCCCACAATTATTCTTATGTTTGGGTCCACTGTGTCAATCCATCTCCTTGAGAACCTTCCTCTTTTTCACTCTCCCTCCACTTTACCAAGCATGATATCCTCCAGGAACTGGTCTCTCCTGCTAACATGTCCAGAACATATGGGACACAGTCTCACCATCCTGGCCTCTCAGGAGCATTCTGGTTGTACTTTGTCCAAGACAGACCTGTTTGTTCATTTGATAGTCCAGGACACTTTCAATCTTCTTCACTTTTCAACCCTTTAGAGAGACCAGGGGCAGCAGACTTACCTAACGCAATGCATCATTTTGATCTCGACTGCTGCTTCCCTGAACATTCATAGTAGATCCAAGCAAAATTAGATCCTTGACAACTTCAACCTTTTCTCCATTTATCATGGTGATGTCATGGTTAGTCCTGGGCAGTGTAGTGGTTACGAGTTGGGTTGCTAACCACAAGGTCAGAGGTTCGAAATCACCAGCCACTCCATGGGAGAAAGACCAAGCTTTCTACTCCTGAAAGTAGCAACCATCTCAGAAACCCATGGGGACCATCTGACCCTGCCCTCTAGGGTTGCCATAAGACAGAATTGACTCAACGGCAGTGAATTTGGTACTGTGGGCAACATATGAGGTATATTCCACCATGCTGTGACGACATCTATATCCTGAGAGTAGGTTCCTTGGGCCAGCCATGGAACTGACAATGTTATGTAGGCTAAGCAGATTGTGCAGTGGTCTCAGTTCCTCTGAGATCCTTGGTCTCACCTGTTCCCAGCTTTTGTCAGTGTTGGGTCTCATCTAACTGAGGCCCTAGATTTGTAATTCCAAATGAGCCAGTGAGTCAATATAGCTGTGCTTCATGAGACTACTGGTCTCCTTCCTATGAATTTTTCCCCCTCTTCCTGGCTGTAGGTTGAGAAATCAGTGGAAACTAGAAAGTTCTTCAGAAATGGAAGGGAGGCAGGAGTCAGGATTGTTACTTTGGTTTGGTTTGGGTTTGTTTGTTTTTTAGGAGCAAGGCCAGCGACGGTTCTCACAGCCCTCCACTCATGCAGCTTGGTCGCTGTGTGCCAGAGCTCACAGGCTGGACCTTATGGGCAGGCAATGGGCAGCCTTGCAGAGCAGCCCCCCCTTCTCACAGCAGGGTTTAGCGGAGCTGGCAGTTTATTTGTCAATATTATTTGTTGTTAGCTTAATTGTGGGGAAATTGAAAAGTGTAATGCATAGCCATGAAACCCTTAAGGCTGGTTAATCTTTTTGGATTGTAACCAATGTAATTTTTATTAGCTGATCCCATCTTGATTGTAATATGCAGAGCTCTAGAAACGTTGCTGAAGGCTCCAAGTCCTGGTGTGCACAGGGGACAGACCGCTCCATCATTCACAAGTCCCGCCAGGGAGAGGGGCCCGATGAAAGAGAAGTGGGATTGACATGCCAGTGGGGAGAGGAGTCCAACCTCCAGGATGGGCACAAATTGATCCTAGCCACCGCTGGAGGACAGGGGCCTAGGCCAAGAGGGGTTAGGTCCTGTGCCTTATTTGCTGACGGTGCTCGGCTCCAGCAGCGTACTGAAATGAGAACAGCTGAGTCCAGTTCAGACCTTCAGAGGTGACATGTTAGACGCTAACAGAAAAGTCAGCCACTCCTGTCAAGAGTTGCAGTCTTGGGAATCCACAGGGCCGTTCTGCTAGGGTCGCTATGGGTCAGAATCTACTCAGTGACAGTGAATTTTTCAGCGGAAATGGAGACAAACCCCACAGGCCGAAGACAATTCCTTTCCATCCACAATGGGTTATTGATAGCGATCAGTTTAGCAGTTAAGCATGGTAGCAATCAAGAATTGGAATTACACCAGCGGCCTTCAAAAGGTGCATGGGTCAAGCCACTTACCACCAAGGGGCGTCGGAGCTGAGCCGGGCTGATCAGGGTGATCGTGGACATGAGGCTCGCCATCTTCGCCAACATGCTGCGCGCGTCGCTCTTCTGGCTTGTCGTTCTCTATCACTACGTGGCCGTCAACAAACCCAAGAAGCAGGAATGAGAATGGCGCTTTCTCAGTCCTAGGCTTCCAGGACATAGTCTGAGGCAAGATGGAGGGTGCGACGGCCCACCCTACCGTTCCCTTCATCTGTTCTACCCATCACAACATCCAAAGCAACTACACCTGGAGTTTTCCAAACAACTTTTATCTCCTCAAAGTCTTCCTGGCCCCTCTATTGATCAAGAAGCTGCTACTGAATAGGGGCTGCTGGTTTTTCTACTCCCCCAACTCCACCGCCAAATATAAAAATATACATATTTTTTAAAAAAAGGTGAGTGGAAAAATTCCCATTATCTTTCAATGCCATTTTCCCCATGGACTTTTTACACCCACTCCCCACCCCCTCTTGTGTCTGCGATTAAGAATTTGAACTTTGCAAAAAGTAGCAGCTGAACTCTCTGGTCCCTCTCTTGAACTTTGACTTTCTGAACTGAAGATTGGTGAATCGAAGTTCTCATCCATCCCACTGCCCTTTTCTTCGCCATTAAGGGACTTCCTTTTCTGTTTTGGAATCTCCAGATGACTTTGTTCCTTAAGGACCTAATGAGCCAGCCCCCTCCACAGGGTGAAATTGGGGCCAGGACACTGGGATTCTACGGACACTTGACTGATACCCTTCACCCCCACAGAGTCCCCCAGGAAATCAGCCGGCAGCTATCCCAGATAAATTGGGAGCCCAGAGGCAGTGTGTGGGCATTTTGTTGTGGTAGTTTGCCCCTTTGTGAATATAAATATTTAGTGCATGGTGCTTTGCAGAATTAAATCTCTGAGCCTAGATGACCCTGGTAATATCATTATGTAGATGCCAGGGATGAGATACCTGTGACTGCTGTGTGTCTTCTCATTCAAGGATGCCTGTGATGACTTGATGTACTTTAATTTGCCAGGGCAATCATTAATTGCATATGAAACAGTTGGTGTTTGGCTGTAAGGGAAGCTGATTGGGTCAGTCACCGAGTGTTTGGCTCAATGATCTACAGCTGGCGCCTCACTCCTGCACTCCTGCTTTCTTTACAAAGCATTCTCACTCTGTGTTTGGGGGACCCCCTGAGGAAGAGGCTGTGAAACATTGAGGGTTGTAATCTGTGTTTTCCTTTGGGCATTATAGCTTAAATTTTAATATTTTGGATAATAAAGAATGATTTTAAATTAAATTTGCGAGTCTGCCATCTGTGATTGTTTGGACTTTTCCCCCCTCTCTGGCAGTTCTTTGACTTAATGCTCTCTGAACACCAGCAAAAGTAGGTCAAAAGCAAGGACAGCAAGGGCAACAGAGTAGGTAAACCCGGGGGGATTTAGAGGAACAGGCAAGACTTTGACCCCTGGCCATTGGCAATAGGAGTTGGTGGAAAGAGGTTGAAGCTAAAAACAAAATAAAAAAACCAAGGAAGCATAGATGTAATTGCAGCTTCCCATCACCTCCTTGTGCTTTGACTTTGAGAAAGTCATTTGCCAAGGTTACGCCTCTGTTTGCCCATCTGTTTAAGAGCAAAATGCTTGTCCCTACCCATGTGCCAGTACAGTTGATCTCGACACAGCTCTGCATCTGAACAGTGTTACTCGACCTCAGGAAGGCATTATCAGGACCCGCGCAAGGCCTGAAGGGTGTGTTTCCAGAGCCAGAGCTCAACCCAAGAGATAGCTACTTAGGATTATGTTCTTCATCTTGTCAGTGAAATCCAGGAGGAGGGATTTGTCTACCTATCCAAAGAGAAGTGAGGACCCACCCCCCTCACCACACAGACCATGGCATTCCTGAGTCAGACAGACAGACAAATGCCGAGCAAATGCCAGAAGGAGATGAAAAAGCACCTGCCAGCAGAGGGGCTGATGTGCTGAGTCGTTTAGCTAGGGAAGAAGCCAGAGTGGGGGCTTGCACAGTGAAGCAAGTAACTCCCTCTCTTCTATTTAGTGGAAGAAGGCTTCCTGGGGGGAGGGTGTCAGAGCTTGCACTTGAGAGGAAAGAGGAGAGAGCTTGCTGAGCTGTGCAGAGAGCAGGCTCCTGGCTTCAGCAACAGTCTAAGAAGGAGCCTGGAAGAGAGGCAAGGGTGGTGATGGGGCCCAGGAGGTACCCTGGTGAGTGGAAGGAGGCAAAGCTGGGGAGGGAGATCAGATGTCTGCGATAAAGTGGAGGGTGAGGAAAGCCACCTGAATTGCTCTCTGGAACAAGAATGGGGTGTAAATAAATACCAGGAAGCTGCTGCAGGCGGTAAGTAAGTGTGGATGAGGCTTTGTTAGCATCAGGATGGTTTCCCCATGCCTCTCTCTTCCTAATATCTGCTTTGCCAAAATCAGGCTGCTCCCCACCCCAATACCTCCCCAGGCTGAGAAGGTCAACTTCATTGTTCCACAAGTCAGAGGGTAAACATTCATGAAATGACCTTGTAGGTGATTTCCAGGGCTCTGAACAAGATCAAAGCTCAGGGGAGCAAGTATTTATCCATTTTAGGGCCTCACAAGAGACTCCTTTGTCCCACATGACTTCAGACTATGTGAGGTAAGCTTGAATCTCAATCAATGCCCCCCACCTCTTCCCTCCCTCCCTCCCTCCCTCCCTCCTTACACACACACAAACACACACGTTCACTCTCCCTCCTTTCCTCCCTCTCTCCTCTCTGAAACCCCTGGCTCTCCTAAACACAACCTTGCTATCCCCCCAATAGTAGAAAACAACCCCAACAAGTGCCTATGAAAAAAGCCTTTAAGACTCATGAATATTTAGCTCATCCTCATGTAAAATATATGACTTTGTGTAAGGATCAGGCGAACGAGGTGCATGATTTTTTTCTGATTTATGGGTCTGGAGACGGATTATTCATAGCAGAGCAGCTGTGTGGAAAGATTCATCCGCTGCAAAATGTGATTGTACATCAGGCAGTGTGTGGGAACGGAGCTATGACTAATGGCTGCTTTACATATAAATGAGAAGGTTTGTGCTAGGAACTGTAAAAAAATACAATCACTCAGCTGACGGGCAGGCTCCTTATCGTGGGTGCAGGAAGGGAGACCACAGGAAAGGCAGGCAAATGGATGCCTGGCCCGGAAAAGCCGGTCCAGTTGGAGGTGAGAGTCAGGAGCAGGGAGTGAGGATAAAGGGAATCTAGGGAAGCCACCGACTCTCCTGATGGGGCCACAGATAGACAGGCTCCAGGTTTGTAACTCCATCTTCCAGGTCCCACGGTGACCTCTGAGAACCTGTCGAGGCAGAAATGCTGCCCAATGGAAGTGGCTGGCTGCATGAGCCACACACCCAAGGATGAAGCCCAGGCCCCAAATGCCCCAGAGCCTGGTGTTGGACTGCTTGTTGAAGATCCAGGACCATTTCCGCCCGGATCCATTTGGGTAAAGGGATGAAGAGCAAAAGGCTGTGAATCTGAGGTTTGCCTCTGCCACTCCTCAGGTCTCCCTCGCCTTTTCTGTTTGTCTCTCTCCTCTCTTGTAGCTGAGACAGGCTGTCTAGACATTGCAGATGTGGACAGATGTTGGGTCTGTAATTTATAACAACGGCCTCCAGAAGGCAATTCCAATTTGTTTCGGTAAGGCTTTGAGTTACAGGCAGAAAAAAATATCCTGTAAATACCGTTGACTTACATGGTAACTACACCAAGGGTTTACTTAGTGAACAATTACTAACTACAGCATAATTACAGATCCCTGCAGATTACCAGAGAATGTAATGACACCGAGCAGGTAATGACCACCAAACAGAGGTTCTGGCTTTGGGAGAGAGAGCCTGGAGAGCAAAGGAGTTGACCTATGCCTAGCTGAGATTGCTACCTAGCTCTTGCGATCACCAATTAGTCTCCCTTCCGAGTGCCCTTTCTGTTGCATCTGCCTGTCAGATACCCAATCACACCACCCCACGGAGCTCCACGCAGGTTGTGCGCTGATTGTTGCCTTCCACTGATGACAGTTCCACGTCCCGCGGTGTCTGTGGGTACACACGATGCCGTAGATGACATCGGAGGCTGAACAATCACCTTCTGTCTTCATAATCAGTCAGGCACTCAGCCTCAGGCCTGAGATGCACTGGGCCATTCTCACTCTCTCTGGAAGCTAACTGGCCCATCCAAGATCAAGCTCATCCACGAAAGGACTGTATGCTGAACTGGGAATGTTAATGAGAAACGAAAAGGTAAAATTCCAGAATCACTTTTCAAGAAATATAGGATGCTTCTTGCTATCATCTGGGGTGGTGTAAGTGGAGGTGGGGGTGAGGGAAGGTCACTTACTGCCACCTAGTCAAGTCTGATGGAGGCCACTATTAAGGCCAATCAATACACAGAGAAGGGATCTGCCCATGACCAGCGTCTATTGGTAGCAGCAACCACATTTACCCGTGGGGTCTGGCAGATCTGAGAACTGTGACCAGCTGGTCCCTTTGGGATTAGGGGATCAGCATTGGCTGGCAGCTGGGGCGCTCAGGCTTCCATGTATAAGGTTGCAGCTGAAATAGCCATCAGGGTATCATTTATGTCAGTCTGCAGGTGGGGCTAAGGAGAGCAAGAATAAATGAGCAAGAGAACGTGAAAATAAAATAAATACATTGACAGGTTGGGTTCCGATTTTTAATCCGTCACCAACCCCGTTTGTTTATTGGTTTCACAGACTCTTCCCTCCCTGCTCATGCCTGTCCAAAAGCAATCAAGCAAAACTTAATACACCACGAGGCACAGACCCCTGGATTTACACAGATCCTGAAAGAGGGCCTCATGCCAGTTTAAATACAGATACTGCCTGGAGAATTGGGATTCCTGCCATAGTTATCTGTGATCTCCTCCTCATTCCTCTCCCTTGTCCCTGCTTACTGAATATTCTATATCCACGCTGCTTGAATGGTAGCTCCGTTCACCTCAAGAAGTAGGTCTGGTTTAGGATGTCAGCTCCTGGCAGAGTCACAGAACTAATCAATCACTAGCTGGGAGAGTAGGCCACCTGGACCAAAGGAAGGGAGTTAGGATTATCAGGTGTCCTGCCTGGAAACTACACTCTCTGGGGGG